CAAAGCTGGGCCATGGTGGATATAGCACAAGGGAGGGGCGGGGGCCATGGAGCATGTTTCAGGTAAGTTATAGGGAATCTGAGCAAGAGACCAGGGGCAAGGGAATGTGTAGCTTTGGGAGAAAGAGACACAGGAACTGAGGAGGAAGCAGTTCTTGTCGTTCTTAGCATACATTTATTGAGTGCTTACTGTGTGCCAGGAAGTAAGCCAGGTGCTAGAAACAGCAAAGGGGCAGGAAGAGTTAGGGTCAGCTACCAGGTCATCAGTGACACTGTACTGACAGAGGGAACAGATGAACCCTTCAGGCACAACTCTGAGGGCCTGGGCTGGGTCCTGCCTTGGTTTTCCCAGCAATAGAAAGGGAGACAAGACCCTTTCCCTCTTCCCCATCCAGGTTGAGGCACACAGACAAGCCCCTGCATACTCCTCTAAACACGTTCACACCTGACATATGATCTCATACATCTCATACCTCAACACATGCACACACACATGTATGAACACACATATGCACACGTGCACACACAGACAGGCACAGCCGAGCAGTTTTACAAGGAGATAGATGGAGGTGCTACCTATATGCTGTGATCTGAGCCACATTCTCCAACATAAATCTATCAGTGCCTGAATATTTATCATCTAGAGATTATCTTTAGAAGCTTTTTGGCCAAGTCTCTTACCAAAATGTGAAAGACATAAAAATGAACAAGGGGACAATTTCTTAAGGCTTTTTCCTTTAAGAGGGGTTCTGAGAGGGGTGGGATCAGCAGAAACAGACCCCACTTCCTTTACTTGGCCAGGAGTCTGTCCTGGTCAGAGCTGCCTAAAGTAGGTGTCCTATTATACTGGTGGGGTAGAGGAATGGGAGTGACCCTCGTTTCCTGTGCTATATACACTCTTCCAGGGTCATACAAATAGTGCTGTCCCTTGTTAAACGCCTTTTTAAAAAAATTTTAATATTTCTTATTGATTTCAGAGAAAGGAAAGGGAGAGAGAGAGAAACATCAATGATGAGAGAGTCATTGATCGGCCGCCTCCTGCACGCCCCCGACTGGGGATGGAGCCCGCAAATCCGGACATGTGCCCTGACTGGGAATCACACCACGAACTCCTGGATCCTAGGTTGATGCTCAACCGCTGAGCCACGCCCGGCCGGGCTGTTAAGTGCCTATTAAGTGCCAGGTATACTACTGTGCAAACACTTTACGTCTGTGTTCACCAAGCCTCTTAGTGAGGGTATTATCTCCATTTTACAGATAAGGAAACTGAGGCTCAAGACTTGCCTAAGGTCACTGATGTGGCATGTGTGGCACAGGGAGATGGAGCCTCACTCTGGGAAAGGACAGGGGCCCAAAGCTGCCAGGGGCCCAGTGCAATCTTGGATCCACCCAGGAGGTTAAGTGACTAACTTCAGAGCATGGACATGCTGCCTGCAGGCCCCCCACAGACTGCACAGCCCAGAGACCAAGGAATGCAGGTGGTAGCTCCATGCTAGCAGGCCACCCCCATAGGAGACACTGCTTCTCCTTCATGACATTTGGGAAGCTCTATCCTCACTCTAGGGATCGGGGTGAGTTAGAACATGCAGACAAATGGACTCACAGAGCCTGCCTGCCCACCCTGACCCCCAACCCCAGGGGAGGGCTGCAGCTTGTAAAAAACCAACCCCCTCACTTTGAGGGTCCTGGGCTCCTCATCCTCATAATCTCATATCTATATTTGGGGAAAATGGGCTACCACCTTGGGTTTGGGCCCCTGGTAATTGGAACAGATAAGGAGCCTCGCTGCCCCAAGAGCCCATGAAAACCTATCATATTGTCCTCCAGGGGGAGCTGTGGCTGCAACAGCCCCTGAAACAGTCCTGTTGAGAAGACTTCTCAGAGCTCTCTGCCAGAGCCCCTCCCCATAGGATGCCCGCAGCCAGACCCCACCACCCATTACCCATCCTATTTGCATCTCGGCTCCAATTCTGCCCACAGGCTGATATGCAAGTACATCGAAAACTGCACTGGGCTGAATGTGTTTCTGCTGCCGTCTGAGACAGTCCCACTCACGTACCCTGATTACTGGTTGTCCCCCATTCTCAGTGTCCTTGGGGCCCAGGGCAGTGTGAAGCCCTCCACAGACTGCACAGCCCAGGGCGAGGGTGAGGAGGGCTTAGCAGAGGGTTGATACTGGATACTAGAGGGGAAAGGAGATGGAGCAAAACAGACAGGCACCTGTAACCCTATCTGTGGCGTTAGGAGGGAGTGTTGGAACCTGCCCTAGTACAGGTCCAGGCAGCAGGAGCTGCAGGAACAGGCCAGGAGGGTCTGGAGGAAGCCAACAAAGGAACACCTTGACCTGAGTCTAGGGGGACTGGAGAGGAGAGGGGTTCCTGACAATACTTCTGAGACTGGCCCAGCCCCCTTCCTCACTGACTGAAACCACTGTCTGGGCTCCTTCACACCAGAAGCCTGAGGACAAAGGGGAAGAGGGAGGGCCATGGCCACTTGGTGCTCACTGCCTTTGATCAGCCCCTGGTACCTTTCCCATTCCAGGGCACTCCCCCTCAAGGGTTGGGGTGACCAGAGAATTGCTCCCTCAAGAACCCTTCTGCCTCCAGGGCCAAGATGACTCCACTGAGTAGAAGTCATCCCGTTCTCAGAGGAATCTCTTGGCTCCAAGAAAGTGGTGCCTGGGTTTGCTTCCCTTCCTCAAGCTGTCGCCTCCCTGCTCCCAAAGCCTGGTGACCCCTGGGGCTACTACTTTGGTTGGAATGTCCTCGTGTAGAGGGCTTTCTTTGGTTGCTCCAATAATGTTAAGACTTAGAAACAAGTCCTGGTTCTAATCTTGAGCAAACTAGTCCATCTCCTGGGCCTCATTTTTTTTAAACTGTAAAATAGAAACGATAGTATCTATTTAACTCTTGTATGATTCAGTGATGATAACCCATCAATTCTGTACAGTCAGAGCAGAATGAGTGGCTCCTGACAAGAGGGTGCAGGGGTAGGTGGTAGCCTAGCCATCTGGTACCCTGTTCCCATTTTCATACCTCTAATCCCCATGCACTGTTGGTGTAGACTGTTTTCTACCCTGAACTCGTTTGTCAATGCCTGCTTCTTTCCACATAGTGCCCACACCCTGCAGGTGGGTGGGAGAGAGAGGCAGCAGCTCCTACTTCCGGTGCTGCTGGGGACAGCACAGGCCTTGTCTGTAACCTCAGTGTTTTCCCAGCTGGAAGGCCCTTGCTAATCAACATTTCCCCAAACTGTACGCCTCTGCCACTGGGTCTCAAACTTTGGGGGGCACCAGAATCACCAGGTGGTGCTTAGCAAAATATCAGCTCCAGATTCCCTCTAGGCCAGAGGCAAGACCTGGAGTCTGTATGTTTAACAAGCACCAAGGAGCTCTACTGGGCCACACACGGAGGATGACTCTCTGATTGTTAAAACCATCCCCCCACAGCATACCACACTCCCTCTTGGAGAGCCATTAAGTCCATGAGCATGCCAAAAAGTGTTGCAAGTGCTTGCTGCAAAGAAACATGCTTCACTTTAACGCAGCATTTCCCAAATTTGACTACAAAACTTTTTAAAAAATTAGAATAACCATCAAACCTCACACAACTAGTGTCCTGAGGAAAGGTTTGGGGAATGTTGATCTTATTCTCTTTTTAAAAAAATATATGTTAAAAATTTGTATTTAGTTACTGATTTTAGAGAGAGGGAGGAAAGGAGGGAGAGAGAAACACTGATTTGTTGCTCCATCATCCATGCATTCACTGATTGATTCTTGTACGTGCCCTGACTGGGGATTGAACCCCCAACCTTGGCATATTGGGATGATGCTCCAACCAACTGAGCTACCTGGTCAGGGCTTAAAATATGTTTTAAACAAATATTTTTAAATTGAATTTATTGGGGTGACATTGGTTAATAAAATTATATAGGTTTCAGGTGTACAATTCTATAATACATCATCTGTATATTGTATTATGTGTCCACCACCCCAAGTCATAAACAAATTTTTTAAAATATTTGAGTGGACTGAAGCCTAGGAAGATTAGGTGTATTCAAGGTGCTCAACCTTGAATTTGGGCCTGGATATGCCCCTTTCTGTTCTCTGTCCATTCCCCCCACCACATCTTGCCTTTCTTTTTGAGCTTGAGGCTCTCCTGGGATTATCCTGTGTCTTGAACTCAGGAGGAACCCTCAGGATAGTTGACCAGTGACAGGAGATCTCAGCAGGGGATAAAAGAGAGACAGGATTAGCCTGCTTGGCTGGGAAAAGCAGCAGAGGGGGTGGTCCACTTCGAAGATGTCTGTACAAACCCAATTTAGGGGTGGCCGGGGGGAGTCTTTTCCTGGCCCTTCCCCTCCCAATCTGGCAATCATCCAGAGATTGTGAGCAGCTGGGTATGACTGGGGCTGGTCAGTGGCAGAAAATCTTGTCTTGCCTTTTCTCCTCAAGCTCAAAATAGGCATGTATAGCCCTTAACTGATATGCTAACAGGGGCAACCCTTAACAGGAGGAAATTTGATTTATTGCTTTGTAAAAAGAAGTCTGATAAAACTTAAAACAAAAAAAACCCCTATAAACCTAAAAATCCACCCACCCCTCTTGGCACTCCCAGGAAATCCCAGACACATTTCTGGGGCAAGTCCTGGTGGGTAAATGAGGCCCACCTGGCGGAGGAAGGGAGGCCTCTCCCATGTAAACAGCTCCAGGGCTCTGGAGGAGTCTGCCAGCAGGGGGCGCTGTAGCTCCACAGCCTCCCACAAGCTCCCAGATGAGCCAGGCTGGCTCTAGGGTGCTGAGACTGCTGCAGGCCTGACTGGAGCACATGCCCAGAGCCCACACCCTACCCCCATCCCACACACACCTCTCACACATGTCACATGTACATACCCACACATACACAAACCCCTAGGCCTCTCACATATCTACCTCCCCACCAGGCCTGGACCTCCATGTCTATCAGCCACAGTCTCACTTCCACCCCCACAAAGACAGCTGTGTGTTGGTACCCCTTTAATTTCCTTCAGGTCACAGACTGGATGAAGGGTGGCAGTAGAAACTTGCTCTCCGCTTAAGTTCTGAGGTCCTTTGTCCCTGGCTCCTGAGCCTCATGTGGCCATCCAGCCCTCCAGCCCCTCCCCAGGCTTTAAGCCAGGGAACTTCTTCTCCAAAGGCCTCTAATAAGAGGACAGGCCATGGACAGGTCACAGGGGGCTGGAATTACAAAAGGAGTTAGCACCAACAACAGGAAGCAGGTTCTTCCTTCCTTAGGCAGCCTCAGACTGACCAGGGGAGGAGATGAGGGGCCAGGCGAGGGGGGTGCAGACAGTGCAAGCCTTTGTCCTCAGGCAGGCGTGGTTGGTGGGCATGCAGTAAATGGCAGATCCCTCTGCTTTGGCAAGAGGCAGAATCCAGATACTTGAGGGAGACAGCCTGACTGTCAGGGGTCCTCCTGGCTCCTCTTTCACGTACCATGAAGCCTCAAGGCTCTAGGGTCCCTCAAAGGTAGAGCAAAGCCCTGGGCAGCCCCTGCTTCCAGCAGTAGGAAAATCACATGTCCAGGCCCTCTCCTGTCCTTCACAGCAGAGCTCCAAGGCAGGACCAAGCCCCAGGAGGGAGCATGGACTCCAACATGGTGAAGGAGAGATTCCTGGGGGTGCATGGAGGTCCTCTGGGGTAGGGAGGAGGACATTGGTGAGTCACTGAAGCAAGGGCAGGAGGCCATAGTTCTGAGGTGGTGGGCATTACACAAAAGCCTCCTGGTTGGATGAGCCGTTGAGCTTGAGGAAAAGCTTCTCGTCTTCCTTCTTCTGCTGCAGCTGCCTCTCCAGCTGGCGCCGGTAGCAGATGAGGTAGAGGGGCAGGCAGAACCCCAGCATGCTCATGGCGAGCAGCCCCACGTTCACCTGCGGCGGCAGGGATGAAAGTTGCCATCAGTGGGGCAGGGGACCAGGTGGGGGCTGTGGTCTTGCAGAGTCCAATTTAAGACCCTTCCTCACACTCAGGTTTGGGAAAGGGGAGAAAGTCACAGGACAGGAAAGGAAAAACTGAAACTGGGATGTTCAAGAGGCAGGAGGGCCACATTCCAGCACCTGAATTCCCCAGTTGTGAGCAGGCCACCCAGCAGCCCACAGGGCCTGCTCTTTGCCTCATCCCCCACCCCTTAGCTCTGACCTTAGACCTACTGATCTGAATCTCCAGGGGTGGGGCAGGGACAACAACTGGATTCTCTTAATCTCAAAATCAGGTCCAAAAAGGGTACTTTTCTTCTCCTGCCTGGCCACCACTCACCAGGGGACTCTGATATGATCTTAACCCTCAGCTCCCAAACTTCTTGTCTTTAGGGCTCTGGAAGCCCCAGAGCAATGCTTCTCAGCTCCCACCCAGCAGAGTGGGGCCAATGCCTGTAACCCACTGCCCCCTGGCCCTTCTTACCCACAGTGGATCTCCTTGGAGGGGACCCATCATGGCGAGAAACAGGGGCTGCTGCAGGAGAGCGAAGAGTGCACTGACTAGAGACTGCAGTCCTGTGAGGCTGCCAAACTGGGTGGAGGGGTACCTGCGGGGGAACAGACAACCTGTCACTGAAGGTCCACTCTCAGGCTTTCCAAATGCTCCTCGGCCTCGGCCTGGCCCCCGGTGTGCTGGTGCCAGAGAAGAGGCATGATAGACTCAGAGAAGAGCAGGGCAGGATAGCCTCAGAGAACATCAGATTACTTTCTGCTGAACAGTTGTGCAAAGTGAATTTCTCTTTTGGACCAACCTAAGGTCCCAGACTCTGGGAAGGACCCCACCCTGCCCAGGTATGCCCTGGGCCCATGGATGTCTGGCTGAGTTGAGTGGAAAGTGTGGTGCCAGCAGGAGTCTGCAGCTTGGGAAACAGGTCCAGGGAGCAGGATGGAGGCTGGGCCTGGTGCTGCTGTGCCCTTATCCAGAGGAGCATAGTCTAATCACAGAAACACAGCATCAGAGCTTTCAGCAAACTCCCTCAGACCCTTCCAGGGCAGCTGCAACTTCCTCCAGGTCTGGGTGGATGGGGGACATGCAGACCTGGAATGACCCCCATGCAATGCTGCTGGGAGGGGGAGAGAGTTCTGGCAAAATCTTAGAAAACATCAGGCTTTGTGGCCCCAGAGATGGGAAGGAGCTCCCAGTGGGGAACAATCTGGTCTTAGGTCAGAAAGATACAGTGGATGGTGTTTGGGTTCCAATTTTTGAGTATAGCCCTGGCCCAAGGAGGAAGAATGCTGAGGTTCCTTATACAGGGATGGCCTCTTAGAGAAAGGCAGGTTTCATTGTAGCCAAGGCCTGAGAAGGCTGTGGGTAGAGGCAGGCCGTGTGAGATTCTTTTTTTTTTTTTTAAATATATCTTTATTGATTTCAGTGAGAGGAAAGGAGAGGGAGAGAGAGATAGAAATATCAATGATGAGAGTCATTGATTGACTGCAGCCCGCAACCCGGGCATGTGCCCTGAACGGGAATTGAACCCCGATCGCCTAGATCCTAGGTTGGTGCTCAACCGCTGAGCCACGACCGGCCGGGCGGCCCTGTGAGATTCTGGGTGAGAACTGTCTGATACATTTTGGGCTCAGTTATCCATGTCGCTGCTTCCTGAGGGTCATTTGAATGTCAACATTGAGCTTTAGATAGCCAGAACCCACCCCTGCCCTTCCCATGAGCAACCAGAAGCGGCTCAGAACTCCATGGAGCAGCAGCCCCTGAGGCAATAATGAGCTGCACAGGGGCACTGACTCTGGCAGAGAGAACTGACTTCGTGTTAAATGCCAAGACTTGTGGGCACCCAACTGTCTGCCCACTGACCCGCCCTCCCACCAGGTATGGCCTTCCCCTGACACACCCAACAGAAGCCCTGTTACCAGTCCCTGATTCAAGAAAATGAACCCTGAGAGGGCAGGCTGCCCCCCTCAGGACCTTAGTCCCACCACAAACCTCCCATATGTCACTCCCTTACCCTCTGTCACCAGGCAACCCGCAGCTCCCAGGACTTACACGGCAGCGTACAGGCCTCCAATGGCTGAGTGGATGAATCCCCGCACAATTGTATGCAGGATGAAGGAGAGGATCTGAGGGAGGGAGAACAGAGAGTGAGCCCTCACCTTGTCCCCCTACCCCAGTTCCTGGGGTCCTGAGCAATGGGGGCAATCTAGAGTTGGCTCATACCAGCTCTGCAGGGCCAATTCCTGAACTTTGGGGAATTCTGCGAGCCAGCTGTTAAACACAGTCATTATGAAAAGTTACATTTTATAAACTTACAATTAAGCTATATTAAAAACAAAGGTAATGAATACTTAAAACTTATCACTTCCTAATTATTTTACTATTATCTATGTTCTTAAGGTTTTTGTATGGTGGAAGGAAATACCATATGATGGTGTGCTACTGTAATTCTCTTTCCAACTCCACAACTGATGACACCATATTGATTGAAATCAGCCATGATGAGAGCAATTACACCATGGAAATTGGCAAACGCTAAAAATCAGCTCCCTCACCAACAGCCCCACCAAGGCTCCACTGTAAACTATGTATCAGTAGCAATAAGTAGGAGGTCATTAATCATGACTGGACCCCCTGCTATTGCTGACCTGACAACTGACCAGAGGTCTCCCTGCCTGGTCACTCAGGACCTAACATGCCTAGGAAAGCCCTGCTTTTTAAGGCTGCTACTGACAGGCTTTGCTAGTTCTGAGAAGCACTTGTTAATGATTTGAGAGGCACAAGAGCTGTCCACTTTGCCACCAGGACCCTTTGTTTGTTCTTCATACAAAGCCCTGCCATCCTACTCAGCAGCCAGGACCTGTTCCCAGGAATGTGGGCGGTGGAGGGGCAGGGGCCACTCTCTGCAGTGTTGAAAGAGGGCTGTGCCCGAATGTGTAGGCACATACTGGGGCAGCCTCCCTCTTTCCACTTCAACTGCCCTGTTGCTTTTTCATAACTTTTCTTTTAATAAACTAAAAAAAAAAAAAAGTGCCTGTCCCTACTAAGCACTGCCCCTCAACTGGACACAGTGGTCAGGGCAAGGGTCTGTCAGTCTTGCAGAGAGGGCAGACACCAGGAGGCCAGGAAGGCACCAGGGAGGTAACAACACTCCCACCTGGAACTGGTACAAGTTTCTAATGATTTACTGTGATCTGCACGTCGTGTCAGCATATTCACGTGATAGCACCCGTGGGTGGGGCACACCTGGGTATTCAATGTACCTCAACACGTGGCCACTTTTAAAAAGGAAGGGACTCTTGCTTTCATCCTGGCCCTGGCCCAAGATACCATCTAATCTTGGGCTACACCCACCTGGGAGCAATGCCATCACTCAAGTCCCTTCAAAGTTCATAATCTTGGGGGCTGGGGCTAGTCCACTTTCATGGACCTAAGGGCGGAGGCAGACAGGTGATAAAGTCTGCCTCGCTCACAATCTCTGCCAAATGTTAGGTTTCAAAAGCATCAGAAACCAATGGAACGAAATTAAGCTTTTGAACCCAGATGCCAATCTTTTTCCACTCTCTATGATGTACAGATCTTGCAGGTACTCTTATATCTGAGGAACAGATGTTCCCATCAATACCAGATTAGCCAGGCCTTTCTGGACATTAGATTTCAGCTGTTTGAACAATGCAAAATAAGTAGCCACACAACCACCCAACATTGTTCTGGAAAACGGTATGATGGTATGCAAATGCACAAAAGACCTGGAGGAATGATAGAGCTTCATAAAGAAGAGTTTTTTGTGAAAGGCAATCCCAGTGTCATTTACAGCTCACTCCCAGCATCATGCACAAAGTCTGGCAGGTGAGAGGCTCTTTGTATAAAAAACAGGGGGCTAGTTAGTTGGTTGGTTAGTTGAATTAAATGAATGAAAAGTCACCATTCTCTTTGTTGATGACTTTCATGACACATCATGCACCTTTTAGTCTCAGTGTCCCCTTACCCCTCTTGACCTCTCCCTTTCCCCACACCCACCTGTAAAGGCAGGTTGGGAATGAGGCATGTCACCCCAAAGCCTACGAGCAGCACATTTGTGAAGGCAAAAGCCCGCATGGCGTTGGTGACCTTCTGGATCTGCCGGTCCCGCTTCTTCTTCTCGCCTCTGCAGAGACACAGAGTACACACTGGAGCTGGGGGCTCCCTGGAGGACAGTGAGCACTCCCAAGAAGTCAGGCCCCGGGAGTCACAGCTTGTGGACAAACAACTCAAGACTCAGAGACACCCAAGCACATTTTAGGGACTGTTGGAGCTAGACCAGCACTAGGGACACTCCCACTGCACCCTCTTGACTGAGTGCTGAGCTTGACCCTCAGTGGAGAGGTTGATAGGAGACTGCGGTCATCAACACACTGTACTGCTTTAGTGAAGACCAAGCTCAAATGATGGGGAGGGAAGCGCAGAGTGTGCCCAAGTTAGGACTTGGCAAAGCCTCACTTCATCATTGGCTTCAACTTCACCCAAATCCTGCAGGCAGCCCACTGTAAGGCAGATAACAAGCCAAATAAGGGAGTGAGTGGATTTCCCCTTGGGCGAGCTGAAGGGAATGAAAGAAACAAATATGCAGCAGATGGAACCGGAACGGGCACAAATAACCTCTTGGCTATAGGACCTGACCTAGATAACAAAGCATTCTCTATAATTATTTCCTTGTGAATTCACTATTACTAATTCTAGTCTCACCACCTTTAGACACCCCATGGACAACTGTATGACATTCAAGAACAAATGCCAAGTGCTGGGAGATGTGTAAGGAGTCTCAGGCCCACTGCTTCCTTACTATGTGACCTCAGGCAAGCTACTCAAACTCCTGGCTTCAGTTCCCCCATCTGTAAAATGGGTATCACACTAGTACACACCTCCTCGAGGTGTTGTGAGGCTTAACTGAGATATTGTGCATTAAGTGCTTGGCACAGGGCCTGATACAATAAACAGTACCTTATTAGACTAAGGTGGAGTCACAGAAGACAGCATTTAACTCATCCTCTGATCTTAGAGCCCAACCCTTACAAAGTAGGGCTCCAGTATCTTGTTTAATGCTCAGGATCATGAATAAATCTATTAACACCTACTATGGTTATAGCGACTTACCACTCTTACTGAGTGGAGTGAGCCTTGTAGGCAAGGCAGCACTGGGTTAAGATCATTCACCCATTGTGCTTATGCCAAGGATCTGAGTGCGATCCTAAAAGTGGAATGGTTTGATACCCAGTGTCTGCACATAGACCTTCCTCCTGTTTCTCCTCTTCTTTCATCTAACTTAGTGCTCCCCAAACTTCAGCCTACCAAAGAATTCCCACAAAGCAGCAGTAGACCTGAAAGTGTGCTGAGCTGAGTGTCTTAAAGCCCCTGGGAGAGTAGCCTCAGGCACCTCTCTCACTTCTTCTGTTGACTTTAAAACCTAGCCCGCTCCGACCATCCCTGTCTAACATCCAACTTGGGAGCTTCTTTCTCTGGGGGCTAAGAGCCAGGCACAGGCCCTGCCTACGCACTGGTTGGCGTCTCCCTCCTCAGGCCCCTCAGAGGCATCTTCACATTCCTTCATTCTCCAGTCCATGATGCAGCCGATGATGGGGGCCGTCAGCAGGCAGAGCAGCTGGAGCGCACCGAAGATGGAGGTGTAGAGGCCAACTAGGGAGGAAGGTGGATCTATGTCATCGGGGGCTCCTGACAGAGGCCTGGAGCAGGCACCGGGCAAAGTCTGAGACCCCATAGGCCCTTCTGGGGTGCTCCCCAGGCCCCCTCTTGTCACTGCGGATCTTGAGGGGAGCCCAAAGACCTTAACCTCTGAAATCAAAGCTAGAACGAGGGGTAGGCACCCTATTCTCTTCTCCAAATCCCCTGCTCATTTCTAAGAAACAGCTAATGAAATCTAGTGTGTCACAATGACTTCCCCCAGAAGCTCCAGGAGGTCTCTATGGCTTGGCAACCACAAAATTACCAATGCCTGGAACAGATACCTGTGTAAGACTGGCCATTAGTTTTCTGCCTCTAGAAATAAACCAGGAAGGCATCACTCACAGGGGCTTGTAAGGGTTTCAATCTTCAAAGAGCCTTAAAATTAAGATGGGATTTTGGGGGGCAAATGGGAACTGAAAGTTGACTACCCAACCCCACCCACAGTTCTGTCTGAGAGGGATGTTTGGAATTCAAGGAAAGTAATTTCTTCATTGAACGGTGACTGACTGGGAGGGGAGGTTGCAATGCTCCCCAATAGCCCCCCCCCCGCTTACCAGCGGCCATCACTGCATCGAGAAAGCAAAGTAAAAAGGCAGAAAGGAGCAAAGTTAGCAACAGTTTGTTATAGAAAGCTGGGGCATGGAGGTAGGCTAGCTAGCTCTGGGACCAGCATACATGTCATTTCCCACCTAGACATGACTCTCAGAGGACCCATGGGTGGCTGAGCTTGAGCCAGGCTTCTAGGAGAGGAAGTGGGAGGAGGCCCAGCTCAGATGCCTGCTGACGTTTTCTTGTCTGCCCGGGCCTCAGTCATGTGCAGCTGGCACCCTGTCACAGGCAGGCTGGTGAATCAGGCCTGTGGCTTGCTGAGGACCATGACAGGGAAGTAGTGTGAATGCAGAAGACCTGGCAGAACTCACTGTCATGTGGCCCTTTGGGAACACTTCTCTGTCACAGTTGCACTCCAAGGGCAAGAGAAGTCAAGCAATGCATCTCAACCCCCAGCAAAGCATCTAACACCAGGGGTCTCCCCCAGAGAGCCAGAGCTGTTCTCCTGTCCCCCTCACCGGCTCCCTGACCCTGAAGCCATCCCTCTGGGCACAGTCGGGGCTGTGGGTGTTGTACATAACAGCTCACAGGAGCAGGCTGGGGAAAACCAATGCCCTGTCAGCTGCAGATGGAATTTCCTGGCCCAACTTCCTCTACTTCTTGAAACTGACTTTTTGAATGTGGGAAACAGTTGGAAAAAAATTTCTCTTGGGCAGCAAAGGATTTCTCAGAAACTTGAATAAAAGGCCACGACTCAGCAGCAGGCTAGTGAGGAGCCTTCTCTGCACACTTCTGGGTCTCCACCTCCCTGGGCCTGAGAGTTTTTAATAGAGGGTGTGGAAACATGATAGATCAGCTTTCCCCAAAGTTCAGTCCACAGATTTTAATGAGTGTTACATAATGAAACCGTTCCTGTGGTAGAAACTGGGGGGAACGTCACTGGACTCACCAAAGCTAAACAAGTTATTTCTTCCTGTAAAAAATAGGGCCTTTACTATGTCAGCATTCATTATGAAATTGTACAAGGGTACAGGATAGCCCTTCTCCACAGATGCCCATTTTCACAGTGGAACCAGTGTTGTCTGGGGGCCTTTGTCATCTTTCCTGTTTGTTAAGTCTGGATTTCTCATCCCCTTTTAAAAACTATATTTGATTCCTTACACCTCCTAGGTAAAAACAATTAAACCACCAACAAAAAAGTCGCACACCAGTTGAGACTGCCAATAAAAAGCATTTACCGAATGTGTTTGTCCTGCTTCTGGACGACTAAAGCTGACTCAGCTCAGGCCCTGAGGAAGTACTGACTTTCTTTGTAGAATCAAAACCTCTAATCCCCTAAAGACCTTCTGTGCTGTTTTGGGAAAGTAGTGTGTGGGTTATCAGTTTTGTTTACCAGACTGAACACGTCTCAACTTGGATCACACATATGAGGAAGCCTCTGCCTGGCCCTGCTTCCATTCCAGGGCACAGATGCCAGTGCGGGCCCAATTGCCTCAAAGTCTCCTGTGCAGCTGGCATGGGCCCCCCTCAGCACCCAGGAGCTCCACACCCCTGCACTGTGGTTTCCCAGGGGGATTCTTGGCGTTGGGTTTCACTGGCTGTCTTTCATCGGGCTCTCAGGTAGAGTACTCTGTTCTGAGCAATGTTTTCATTCATGAACACATCAACCAGCCCCCTCAGGCCATGAAAAATATACACCTCACACCCCAGATATACCTTGTTATTTTAGTCTTCCCTTCCCTCCTAAACCGGGAAACTCTAATGGGGATGTGAATGAATAGTTGGGGCTGGCTGTGATGAAATGGCTTTGACGAGCTGTGGATCCCTTGGACTCTGTCATTTCATGCCCCTGCTGGTCTGGCCCAGCCTAATACCATTCAGCTGGCCGGGAAATGGGTTCAACCTCAGGTGGCAGGAGTGACCACCACTCGGGAGAGGGTCCTCCTATGGGACTCTGCACCAAGGCCCAAGGGCCACCTACCTTTGTCCTGGTCACCGCTGACCAGGAATTTGAGGATGTTGTTCATGGCGCCCATGTAGAAGATGAGCCGCAGCTGCGTGATGCACATGGTGACGAGGCTGAGCAGCAGGATGGGGCTGAATATACTCTGCATGAAGGAGGGGGCTGCTGTGGGGAGAATGCCATAGGTGTTCAGAGAGAAGGGGGCCCATATCTCCATGGCCCACAGCCCACCTGCCATTCAAGGGCCCAGCGTGTGGGGAGGGGAGGCCGATTTGCTGACCAAATCATTCCATGCTGGATGCGAGGATGGGTCCAGGTGAGGTTAAAGGTGTGGGTGCTAGAGTTGGGTCACCCAGCCATGTAAAACAAGTTGGGTGAATCCCTTACCCTCTCTGAGCCTTAGTGTGCTCATCTGTACACCAGGGTGGGAATTAACTGAGATGAGGCGCACAAAACCCTTGGCCGGAGCTAGGGCTTTCAGATCCGGATTGGCTGCCCCTTCCTGTCTTGGGGGTGTGAATGTGAGTGTGAATGTGAGTGTGGGTGGGTGTGAGTGCAGATGCCCCTGCTAATGTCTCAGGCAGGCCTGGAAGGTAAGAGCCTCACAGTGGGTACCTGCGGCGTCTGGCTGGCACTTCACCTCTAGGTCGACGGTGGACAGGCAGAGCTTGTGGCCCTCCTGCAGTGCTGCTTGTTCCTTGGTACTCCTCATGGAACTGCCCACACTGAGGCGGCGCCCCACTGTAGTCACCTGCTTGTAGAACTGCTTCCCTGTGATCTTGTGGTCAAAGCCCAGCCAACTGAACTTGATCTTCACCCTGAAGGCCACAGGAAGTATCCTGTCAGTGCCCCCCAGGGCCATAACTGGGGTGGGGCTGGGGACAGACAGTACATTCACTTACGAGTAGTCCATGTCTTCTGGCCCTGGGAAGGGCTCCAGGGGCCAGTTAAAGAAGCAGTTGAGGAAAACCAGCCCAGAGCAGCCGGCCCAGACCACGAGGATGATGATGAAGGAGGCCCCAAAGTCATAGATGACCTGAAAGGCACAATGGGGTGGGGTAAGGCAGGGGGCAGAGTTGGCACAGGGAAGCCAGGGTGGGTAGTAGGCAGGGATCATCTCTGCTGAGCTGCATGAGGAGGGACAGCCCTATCCACCTGGGTGTTTGGTCATCAGACATTTGCATCCCAATTATCCCAACTCTCCCTGGCACAGGGGGTCATTAACCCCGTGTCTCCACCTTGGACCAGATGTTGCTTCCTTGGAGAGGCCTTCTCTGACCACCCCCATCACTATCATATCACTGGCTCACAATGAATAGCCCTGGCTGAGAATATTGATGCTTCATTCATTTACTTGTCCATTGTTAGTTTAGATCCCTGAGAACAGGAACCTGTTAGCCTTGTCCACTGATGTTTCCCCAGCACCTTGAAGAGTACACATAACAGGTGCGGAAAATACTTGAGGAATAAACAGATGGCTGTCTCACTTTCCTCCTCTGAGAAATGAGAAATGGGTGTAAGATTGGCATGTGTCCTTATGGTACTATGGTGGGGGTTAGGCAGGTGTGGTCCTAGTGCAGTGCTCAGTGGCGGGAGGAAGCCTGCTGAGCATGAACATGTTAGCTGTAACTGTCTGTATTGCAATTTATTTCCAGTACCAGAGTAGGAGCAACAGGATTTGGAGGAGGAACTGGGGCTGATGGACTGGGAGGTGTTTGCTTCATCCTGACCCTGTGTGACTTCGACGGGCTCAGAATCCTGCCTGGGAGGGAAACAGCTGAACCAACTTGGCCAGGAGCAGCACTTTGGCTAATGGCGAGTAAATAGCCCAACAACAACAGACCTGGGGGTGGGGATACTGGAGTTGGACTCAGGATCAGGGACAAATTCACCCACCCCCTTTCTGTACCCTAGCCCAGAAGTGCAAAGGCAGCCTGCGGTGACACCCTGTAGTGATATGCTTGAATTTTCCATCCGCAGGCCCAGTGGGTTTCTTTTCTTACTCCCATGGTGCCCAGGTGCATCCTCCCAGGTGTGGGTGGTGGGGAGGGGCCAGCCCCCACACCCACAAGTACTTCCCTCTTCAGAGAGGGTAGGAGGAGCCTTAGGAGAAGCCTCTGTTCAGACTAGTACAAAATAAATGTGCTGGAAACCGGCTGGTCACACCCTCACCTTGATTCCTGGGAAGGTGACTGCTGAGGAGGCATAGGATCCAATCATCAAGGCAATAAACGTGGATCGAAGGTCACCAAACATGTTGGGCAGCTGTAAGACAAGAAGCAAAGGAGACTTCAGCTGAGAGAAGGGACAGAGGATGGATGAAGGAGGGGAAAGAGCGGATCAAGGCTCATCAGGCACTTTTTCTTATCTGCTCTCCTCCCCCAGTTCACAGGGGAATTAGTCCAGGGGATAATTACTACTAATAGAAAGTTATTCCTTTCCCGACTGAGGTTGATAAGGGCAGGGGAGGAGTGTACTGCAGAATTCGGACCCCAGGTATAAGGACAGAGCTGTTGTACTTTCTGGCTGGCAAGTGTCCCTCCTCTCTGCTCCAGCACAGGTCAGAGGCCTTCCTGTCTCTACAGGATTACACAGAGATGCCAGAGAGCAAAGCTGGGAGACAGGCAGCCCTCAAAGGGAGCAAGCCGGTTAAAAATAAGAATCTATTTGGGAACAAGACTGTCATTTTTATAAATAAAAATATCAGCGTCCCAGAAGGACCAGATGTCAGCAAAAGCTGCTTTCATTTGTGAGAGAGTGGATTTCTGGAAGGTGTCAATCAGAATTCTACAGTTCCCTTGGGGCTGACAAGGGTGCTGGCCTGGGATTATGCTTCTGAATTTCTAAGTGCAAGGAGGGTTTTCCCTTTCCACAGTTTTGCCCCAGAGATGAACATTTGAGAAGGCCAAAAAGCTCAGGCTCTCCTCTCAGAGAGAGCCACTCTTTTGCACCTCTCGTAAGTTCATTCTGGGCCCATTTGACGTAATTTTGAAGCTAAAACCCTTGGCGATTTCACACAAATCCAGGCATGGTAATATAGGATAATGCAGTCACAATTCAGATGTGAGGCCAAGTACATGCCCCAACGGCCCGTTACAGCTTCTCTCTAGAACCTTGAGAGAGATCGCATCCATGCAGTGAAAGTTTCCACCCACACCAACAGTGTCCCTCACACTGAGACACCTCTCTGGACAGCTATGCCAGCCTGTTTGTTGAATTCAGACTGTTTATATGGACTTAATCTATGTTCCCCTCCCCCATTTGTCAGCAATCATTTTGGGGTTTTAGCAAACATGGAACACGTAATGGCTAATCTATTGTTGCCAAACACAAGCAGTTTGAACTTGGCTACACACCTGCCCCTCATCATTTCTGCCTAAGTTGCCCACAATTCAAAATGAATAAGGCATATATCAAGTCATCATGTTGTACACCTAAAACTAATACAGGGAGCCTTATTTGTCGGCCCGGCTGGGCGTGGCTCAGTGGTTGAGCATTGACCTGGGATCCAGGCAGTCGGGGTTCGATTCCCGGTCAGGGCACATGCCCAGTTGCGGGGTTAATCAATGACTCTCTCATCATTGATGTTTCTATCTCTTTCTCTCCCTCTCCTTTCCTCTCTCTGAAATCAATAAAGATATATTTAAAAAAAAAACAAAAAAAACCTAATACAATGTTATATGTGATTATATCTCAATAAAACAGGGAAAACATGAGTAAGGCACATCATCCAAATTGAAAACTTTTGTGCTTCATATCTATGATGATCCTATCCCGAACCTGGATTTCTGTTGAAAAAAGTTAATACAAATCTGGTTTTTGAAACAGACCATTATAAGGACAATAGCATTTTATTTTTTAAAAACATATCTTTATTGATTTCAGAGAGAGGAAAGGAAAGGGAGAGAGAGAGATAGAAACATCAATGATGAGAGAGTCATTGATCAGCTGCCTAGCCCGCAACCCGGGCATGTGCCCTGACCGGGAATCGAACCCCGATCTCCTGGATTCTAGGTCGATGCTCAACCGCTGAGCCACGCCTGGCCGGGCGACAATAGCATTTAAAAAAAATAAATTTAAAATACATTCTGATGTTGGTTATAAATAAATAAATAAATAAATAAATAAATAAATAAACAAACTTTTGTACTTCAAAGGGCACTATCAAGGAGGTGAAAAGATAATGCACAGATGAGAAAATTTTTACAAATCACATATCTGATATGGGACTTGTATCTAGACTATATAAAGAACTCCTACAACTCAATAATAAAAAGATAAATAACCTATTTTTTAAATGGGCAAAAGATCTGAATAGACATTTCTCTAGAAAATATATAAATGGGCAATATGCTCATGAAAATATACTCAGTATCATTAATCATTGGGAAATGCAAATCCGAACCACAATGAGATACTAATTCATACCCTCTAGGGTAGCTACAATAAAAAGAAATCAGGTAATAATAAATGTGCTGAGGATATAGAGGAGTTGGAAACCTCACACTACTGGTAGAAATGTAGAATGGTGCAGCCACTTTGGAAAATAGTCCAAACAGTTAAACACAGTTATCATATGATCTAGTCATTCCACTTCTTGGTAGATATCTAAGAGAAATGAAAACAATGTCCACACAGAAACTCATACATGAATGTTTATAGCAGCCTTAATCATAATATCCCCAAAGTGAAAATAATCTCAATGTCCATCAAAGGATGAATGGGTAAACAGAAAGTGGTAAATCCACACAATAGAATATCATCCAGACATAAAACAAATGAAGTATTGACACATAGTACAACGTGGATGAACCCTGAAAACATATGAAGTGAAAGAAACCAGTCACAAAAGACCACATATTATGTGTTTCCATTGATATGAAATGTCTGGAATAGGCAAATCCATAGAGACAGGGAGCAGATTAGTGGTGCCTAGGGCTGGGGTAGAGGAAGCTGCAAGTGAAGAGGGAGGAAATGCTAATGGCACAGGGTTTCTATTTGGGGTGATATAATTGATTATGCTGATGACTGTACAACTGTCAATATAATAAAAACCAGCGAATTGTATACTTTAGGTGAATTACATGGTATATGAATTATATCTCAATATCACTGTTTAAAAAAACATGAATAAGGAATTTAAGATGTTTTGGGATCCCAGAATTAAAAAGGAACATGAATAAATCTACAGTGTATAGTATGAAGCTAGGGAGGCCATCCAGGCTCCCCAAAGAATTTCCAGCACACAAAAAGCTCTTCTTCCAGCCCCCACGTGGAGTGGATCCTCTGTCCACTCGGGCTTCTCAGAGAGAGTCAGAGGAGAAAGAAGAGCATATGGAAATTCCCCCAACCGCAGGCAGAGGAAATGTGATGTGCTCATGTGTGCCTAGGCACAGCCAGGTGAGCACTAAAGGCACCCAACCTTGCTCTTTGCACACCTGCCTCTCAGGTATGCTGTGGTTCAGAGGATATGCCTCGGTTCCTGAGCTCACATATTTGGGCTTCTCCATGCTGGCTACTCCAGCAAGGCAGCCTTGTAGGGGAGGCATCTCTGGGGCCATAAGAGCCCCAGGGAGAATCCAAAGACTAGTTCCACTTGTACGGAATGTCATCCAACTAAGGCAGGTGAAGGAAAAAAAGGAACAAAGAGGACTCAGAACCCAACCAGAAGAGTAGACGGAGGACACGAGCCCAGCGTAACAAGGTCCACTTGGTGCAGAGTCAGGCCAGGGAAACACTTTTGCTGGTGCAGTCACCTTTGGGCACAAAGAGTACCTCAAACCTTTCAACAGGGCTAGGGGGTATTCCAGAGAAGTAGACAGCTTGCCAGCCAGCCTGTTTCCTTCTTCCTTAAGCTCAAGCCTGCCCTAACCCTAACCCAGGCTAGGGGCCAACAGAACAACAAGAGTTTGGGGACAACATGCAACTCCAATCTGATCTTCTGGAGTATTCTCCCCAGAACTAGATCCAGGAGACGGAAGAACAGAAAACTGGCAGAAGAACTGCCTTTCCATCTGCCCCTGGATGAGATCCCCCACCCTCATGTCTGAACAAGGGCAGTAGCCTCCCAGCTGCCTTCCTTGCTGCCGTGCCTCTCCGGGCCTAGAACATTCTTAGCAACACCAAGAAAATTCTCCTCCCCAACATGTTATTTTGGTCAGCAGAGGAGTAGAGAGCCTAAGGGCAAATTATACTACACAGTGTTCTCACCAACACCAACATCCTGTATTTTAAATTATGACTCTTTTTCCTGATTAGAAAAGCAATGCACATCCATTGTAAAACATCTGAAACAAAGTATACATAAAGAATAAAATAAAATTCTCCCTGATAGAGCCATGTTACCATTTTGATATATTTCCCTTTAGTCTTTTTCCTATAAATATCTAAAACTTTATAACAAAATTGAAATCATATGCTAAATATTGTTTTATAAACTTTTTTTTTTACTTGATTTATCACAAATGCTTTCTAATTTAGTATTCATCTTCAACACACTTCGTAATGAATATCTGGTATTTCTTTATCTGGATGATCCATAATTTATGCATTTCTCTGATGTTGGACCTCAGGTCCTTTTTTTTTATTTTTAATCTTCACCTGAGGATATTTTTTCCAGAGAGTGGAAGGGAGGGAGAGAGAGAGAGAAAGAGAGAGAAACATTGATGAGAGAGACAAATCGATTGGTTGCTTTCCGCATGCGCCCTGGCTGGGATGGTGCCTGCAACCGAGGTACGTGCCCTTGGCTGGAATTGAACCTGGGACCCTTCAGTCCATGGCAGATGCTCTAACCACGGAGCATCTAAAAACTGGCTAGGGCGGACCTCAGGTCCTTTTTAATTTTTATTGTAAACAGCACTTCAATGAACATCCTTGAAGATAAACATATGTTCACGTAGCTATTATTTCCTCAAGGTAAAAGTCGCAAAAGTAGAATCACTAGACAGAAGGGGATAAGCATTTTTAAGTTTTTGTCATACTCCATGCCAAACTGCCTTCTAGAAAACTTAAACCAATTTGAGACTCCCATCAGCAGCATAGTAGACTGTCCAACATTATGCATTATCATCATTTTTAATATTTGCCACTTTGCCAATATCCTGCTGCTGTAAAATTCATTTCTTTGAGGAATGAATGAAATGAATTAGTGACTGATATTTGTTTCAAAATAATCTGGGTGGTGGGTGAAGGCAGAAATGAAGCAAGAGTGGTCAGGCGTTGACAACTAGTTCAGGTTGCAAAATGGGTGTGTGGGGCTCATTATA